TGAAAGAGGAGGCTAGGTTCTACGTAGAGTGGATCGATCCGGCTGCCAGGTCAACCCTCACCGCGGCTCACTCTGCCTGTAACCGCCCGCCGCGAGGTATTTCGCGTTTACATCGCGACGTTGTTACTTATGCGGCACGCAGGCCGCTGTAAATTCGGCCGGAGTCGAACGAAGACCCCTCCCTTTTCTTCACTCGAGGAAAAAGGTGAAAAGAAGCGACGCGACGGCTGGGTTTCAGAATTTCAGAAGAGGAGACACGAGAAGATGTGTATACCCGTGTAATCGTCGCAGGTTGGAATCTCTGTGGCGCGTCGAATGGGTTAGGATTGGTTACGATTAATTCATGCTACTTTCGATTCCGTCAGTACGAGGACGGTGTCGATCCTGGCCGGAATATTGGAACGTCGATTATGACGCTTCGAAGCTATCGCAAAGCTCGGGGATGTCGATATATGGATTTTACGTATTAAAGGATTCTCATACGGAATTAATAATCGAAAATGGCTATTAGACGGTAATGACGTTTCGATAATTGTATGCAAAGATTGTACGGGCGAGGAAATTAATGCACGAAGATTGGATGTGGCGGGACGCGGCGATAGATATTGGCGGGGAGAAAGGTGGTTGTTAAGGGAATCGGTTTAAATCGGTGAATGATTATATTCGTTCGATGACAATGAATAAACTGATTCCCCGTTTCATCGTTTATTCCTCTCTTTCTCTCTCTCTTTCTCCACGATTCGTTTCAATACCCCCGTTATTTTATTAATTCAATCCGATAAATAACTACCATTTAATGGACGTTTCGCGACCGCGAGCGCGGTAATATGGAAATGTTCGGAAATTTAAACTATCCTTCGGTTAACAATATCGCCTATTTAAAATTCGCTCGTACGTGAAACGAGCATTTCGAGCATTTCGCCCGTCGAGAAAATGAAGAGAATGGGGGAATACGAGAGGAGGGGGGGGGGGGAGAATAATATAGGTGTATAATTGGGGCGATAAGCGGCGCGATTAAGTTTGATCGAATCTACGCTGAATTGGCGCGAGGTCCAAGGCGGAGAAGGCAATTTGTTGATCTAACGTGTACGGTCAGCGGAATCAGCGCCAGTGGAATATAAGTATCCGTCGTAAAAGTATCGGAGGTAAAGCGAAGCAGTACGTGGGATATCTACATCGGTATCGGATTATTCGACGTTTTCATTAGCCATTGACATCGGCTACGTAAAATATCGATTTGCAGTCTGCAGATACGTCGCTTTCTCTGCCCGACGCGTTAATATTAATTTTCGAGCTTTTACATTCCCCTCGCCATTCGGTACACTCGTAACATAGATTAATTGAGAAAGCCTGTTACCGAGAAGCGAGACAGTGGTTATTAATGGCATAACAAAATATCGAACGCGTACCGGCCCACCTTTGAAACTCTATGATTTTTAAGCGCGATAAGTTTTCCCGAGGCGCAAAGGAACAATGTACCTGGGATGATTAATGGCTTCCGTTTTTCGAGAATTCAAATTTTTCTACAAAAAAAAAAAAAAAAAGAAGGATTGATTTTTATTCCCCAATTTATCGTTGGCAAGAAAAATTGGTTAAATATATGCAGGGAACAAGACTGGGCCGGGATCTAAAATATTTGGCGGATCGTTAAATTTCTTCGTGTCTCTCGCGTAGTCAAATATATCAGTTGAATATCTTTATTTATTTTTTTTATCTTTTAAACCGGATAGAAACGAAACGCTCGTATTACGTATGACGTGCACGAGAGTCCCTTATGAAAATATAATTTAATACTGCAACATCAAAATATCCGAGTTTTCCAACGTTACACCACCGACGAATAGTTGACGATATTTAAATATTTTTCCTACCAGGTTACGAATTATAATACAGGCCATTATCTTGAAAATGATATTTTCATACGGAACGATAATACGTTGATGCGTATCTTCAGTTTTTGTTAATGGATTGCGCGTAAAATTTCCGCGCAAATTATAATCCCGAGAAAAAGTTTTCAATCCGTGCAGCACGCTTCCTCTCGCGTTATTTACGAATCGTTAAAAATTACCTCATCGAGATAAAAAAAAAAGCTATTCTTCGAAATATCATTACGTATATATGTATATCGAGAAAATTTCACCTGCAAACCGTTTACAATTATGAGAATGATTTACAAAATAATTTCCTACACAACATTAAGTAAATCCACCGTTCAACGTTCTCAACCGTTATCCCCTTTCTAATTAATAGCATACAATTTGAGCAGAAATATAAAAGTTCCCTTCTCCGCCCGAATAAGTCTGCCACTGCCGTAAAAAATGATTCTTGTTGTTCGCTACACCGAAAGCGTTTATTTCCGCGCGCCACTAAATCTAAGCTCCCGGAAGAAAGGTAGGAGTGTAATGACGGTGTACTTCGTAGAAACAATTCCGGCTTCTCTTTTTCTACCAGGTCGGATAAGCTCGACTCTCCGGCCACTTATCAGGAAGAAATTACTCCGTGGAAATCTTGTTCCACATTTCTGATCGCATCACGCGGGGACGAAGCGAAAAAAGAAAAAAAAATCGATTCCCAAGTAAACGACTTATATCCCCTCGTGCGATTATACTTATCCCGTGTATATCGTGTCATCGTGAATCTACGATCGATGATATCGATACGAGTCGCGCGAGAAACACGTAGCGCGATATTACAACGAACGATCGAATTATTAATTTACGACTGTTACACTCGCGTGCGAGAGATATTGTGCAGGCCGTCGATTCGAAACGAGAAGACGGCAATAAGGAAACACTTCTGAGAACGAGTCGGAGAAACTGTTAAAGACGACAGCCTGTCGAGTTAAATGGGATTAGAGGGTGTATACATGGATAAGGTCAGCGTACGAGAGTATCAACCACGCCTCGCGAATATATATATATACATATACACGTGTCGCGCGCAAGATTGTTTGCGTTGTACAAGTACTTACGCCTTATGCCCCGTTCAGATGCTCACGACACGTCTGCTGATTGATTCTCTGAAGTGATTTCGTACTATCGGCACGCATTATCATACACAAGCCAATAGGGGGCAATATCTCGAATGGGTACGCTTGATTCATGGACATGCAATATTGTTCACAATCGCGTTACCGCGACATTTCAATGCCGGGGCGTATATCCAGAAGCGTGAACATTGTTGGTGAATACCGTAATTTAAGTGTTCTTACATCGCGACAATTTTGCCTGTTTTTTTTCCTTTTTGTCGGAAAAATTATATCGCGAAAAATGTCTAAAACGCTTAAAGTGAAAACATTATGAGAATGCTCGTGCAAATTGATATTTAAAATATGCTAGGTATAATTAGTTAGGTGGAATATTTAAAGAACGAAAATAACCTTTATTCGAATTCCGATTCATTAATTATGTTCATAAAAATATGAATATGCATAAAAATTCCCGGTCCGGTGATTATTTATTTCGTATGATATCATTAATAATCGATATAATCGAATATCATTTTTTCGTATTCGATTATGCAAAAAGGAAGAGAGGAAAAAAAAATGTAATATATTCTACTTTATTTTAATAATGTATTATGTACATATGTTAAATTGAATTTCTGTACGAAATTAATTTTACTCGTATTTTTTCGTTTTAATATGTCAAAACATCCGTTACACGAGCTGCCCCAAGGATACATTTTTGAAAGGAATCCTCTTATACGCTTCGTTCGTTCCTCTACAGAGCCTCTGAATGTTCGCGTCGACGTTTGACATTCGTCGCGCCAGACGAACCGAATCAGACCTCGGGGTCTACCGTGAATCGTAAAACGCGTACAAGAAGGAAGCGAATACGGCGTAGTCTCTCATATACGAAGTTATAGTCATGAAAACGGAGTAATAGCGAAGTCGATGCGGTAACTCGAATTCATTTGAAATGACGAAAATCCAATCGGAGAAAGAAAAGATTATGGATGAAAAACCACGGTCAGTCGTAAAATTGTGTTTCGTGGAAATATATTGGTCGATGTAGTAAAAGATAAAAGGAGGAAAAAGAGAAATGACAGATAGACGTTGGAAGCACGGCGTTCGAATTTTGAAATCCGTTCATTGTTAAATTTTTATGGAAGAGAGCAACGGGGGAATTGTGAAGGAATTGATAGCTGTATAGATCGAGTCTCGTAAATCGACCGATACGATTATTTACAAAGTTTTAAGACATATGAAAGAAGTATAAAAAATAGTTGATTTATATGGACACATTGTACGATACAAATTATATAGGTACATATTTTTTTCCAAAGAAATTGCGACTATTATAAAATCAAATTCTTACCTTATAAATTTATACATGTACGTGTTAGTTCGTTCCTTGTATATCTTGTTACTTCTTTAACCATGATACAAATAAAACTGTATTTATATCTCTTAGAAACGTAGAATCACTTTTTAGTTCTTTTTAATCTTCTAACCTAACGTCGAAATTCAAGATGGTTGCTAATAACTATCATCTAGTGTCTCCACCTATATCGTCTTTCGTTTTGATTGCACGAATCACTTTTACGTAGTTTAAGAATACATACAACGGACACATACATACGTGTAATACATAAAACGTTGATCACGTTGATTGTTCATTACGTTAATAGACAATATCATTACGTGTTTTTGAAAGTTATGAAAATTCAATCGTCATTAGCAAGAAGAAATTAGAATTAGAACAATTGTTTCTATTTACAAAGATAACCTGGACCCATGTTGATGTTTCGTGATCCGTTGATCCATCCATTGCACGAGTTCGAACGAAAGTTTAAAAGCACTACAAAGATGATCGAATTGTTCGTTTTACGATCGGATAAATCGTGTCACGTGAAATGAAAATGCGAAGGACGAGTAACTTTTTCAAACTTTGAAGATAGTCGTTTCGTAGTCGCGTGTGCGGGCCCACGGCAGGCGGTATATACGGGTGCAAGTTTAGTTTACGGTGTCGCCACGGGTCACGGTGGCGCTGCGCCGCCAGCACGATCCTCAGTTCGTCACGGGGTCGCGAGGGGTACGCATTGCCTTCGTCGATTGGCCGTACCCACGCTCGTTCGTGATAACGCGCGAAAACCGTACAAGCACGTTTATTCGTTTACAGTCTTATAAAACGTAATTTCGGGAATCGTGAATCGTTCGCAGCTTTTTATCAGTGATTTCTGTGCGGTGTCATGTCGCGAAGTTATACGTTACGCGCGTGATACTTTATATCTTTGCAACATAACGAAGAAGACAGTGCTCGAAAGAACGAGGAAGGGGAAATCAACAATACTACGCATTCTGCGACGCAAAAACGCGAGGAACACCGGTTACTTTTGCTGTCACCAAACGTGAGTGTCTCTTTTTTTTTATTTTCTCTTTCACTTTCGTTGCTTTCCTCGATTCTTCGACACCATTTCGATCGTACACGTTCTATGAAGGAAGGATAGTTCCAATCGTTACTGACAGTTCGACAGACTTCCATTCTGACGCGTGGTTTAGAATTCTTGATCGTGCACAAGGCGACGTGTTTCCTTTACCTCCTGCCAATATTCTTAGACCGATAAAGTTGAATTTCCGTTTGAATACTGCGCGTGATACATGTGTGTCGTTTCATGTATATTAGAACGTGTAACGTATTCGTATTCGTGACACACTCGGCATAAGTATATGGTACGTGATGTATATTCTGTTTTACAATTGCGTAAATACATTCTATATCTTTCATTTCTCTACATATAGACAATTTATTGTTAAAATTAGGAAAAGATGATATTATTTTCAAAGGATTTCTTAAAATTTTTGTACAAATATTTGAAAAAATACGATTTAGAGAGCAGTTGGGTCGACAGATTTATGCGTATAATTCGTGCGACCGTAGAAAAGTACGTTACACATTCTCAACCGTTTATTGAATTGCAAATGGCGGTATTATTTGAAAATATTTCTGACGCATATCTGTTTATCGAATGATTATTTCTTTTTTAATAGAATAGAAAATAATTATACAAAAAACGTATTCCGTATAGTAATAATAATAATAATGAGTTATAATAAATTAAAATATATAATGAAATAAAATATATAATGAAAACGATTGAGAATGTGTAACATACTTTTCTACGGTCGCACGAATTATACGCATAAATCTGTCGACCCAACTGCTCTCTAAATCGTATTTTTTCAAATAATGAAATATATAATAATGAAATATATATATATATATAATACAATTTTTTTTATCTTATTTCTAAATTTCGTAGATATTATTAAAAAAAAATATGCTTTTTGCAATTAAATACAATATTAATATTACATTTTACAATTATGAGAAAAAGAAAGTTCTTCTTTTATAAGCTCTGTATATTAATTTTCGAATAATCTAGAATTATGACGAAATGGCTTTTTATTTAAATTATTTAAGTAGACGAGGTTCGTTCAATTAGTACCTATGGAAAATCCAACTCTGCTTTTCTATTCAGAGATATTTGCTCTGAAATAATTTTTTCCTCCATTCGACGATAAAAAAACTGTAGAATATTCACATTTTTTGAACCAGAAACTAAAAGCGAAATATTAAAATACTTTCTTCCGAAATTTTTCATAAATAAATAATGATTTCAAAATAATTCACAATACAAGTCGTTGAATTTATTCTGCTATTAATTTCATTTTAATTTTTAATTATTCGCGACGATAAAAATACGAAATAAAATCAGAATAATCACGAATGAATACGAAATGAAAGCATGAATAAGCA